GACAGGTTTCCGTGGGAGACGCGAGTCTTTATCGCGTTACGTGCAAAGTCGACTTCTCATGCGCCATTTTCGTCGCGCGCTCAACGCTTATTCCGAGTATTTCGGCATCTGGCGATAAGTCCTTATCTGGGCGAAGTGTTCGCGCGACGGGATATGACAAGTGGGAGGTTGTCTAGAAAAGAGGAGGGAACGGAATATCTAATGTCGCGGATACCGCCCCGAGCGATAAATCATTTCTCTCCGCCACGGTGGCGTCGCGATGTCAGCGACGGCAGTCGCGGATACTCGACCGCTTAACCCTTCCGAGACGGACGTTCTTTTCATTGATGACGTGACGGCGCTCGGAGAGACCCCCGAAATCGACTAAAGTTGCGAGCTGCAACGGATGAGTTTAAACGGCGAGAACGTGAAGGCGAGAAATGAAAATGTTAGTAATATGATGAAGCGTTCTTATTTGGTTGGTGCACAAATAATTGTGGTTTTTGTCATTTTAAGTTTGGCGCCGATTTTTCGAGTTGCCGTTATTTTTTTGTTATAGTCATGTGATACGTCATTGTAAACAATGAAATTGGCACTACTGATTTCAGCTTATGTCTGTTGTTTTTGTTCTTTAGTATTGTTGGATATAACCTCTTAAATTAGTCACGGAAAAACAGCAAATTCGTGCGATTTTGTTGCATGAGTTAAAATTGAGACGTAGAAAAGCAACAGAAACCGCTCGAAATATCAAATTTGTTTTTGGTGAAGAGTCAATTAGTGAACGTACAGCTCAACACTGGTTCTAAAAATTACGTGATGGAAACGAAAGCCTTGAAGAAGAGGAGTTCGTAGACGTCCTTCAGCTATAGACAATAATGATTTAAGAACCATTATTGAAGCGGACTCACGTAAAATAACTCGAAAGGTTGTTTCCCGTTGGGAAAAATGTGTGCAGGCCAATGATTTTTATTTTGATTAATAAATATAATTTTTAACTGATATATGCGCCTTTATACGCGATACGTAAAAACCGCAATTACTTTTGCAACCGAATATTCATAGCGATAAATTAACGTGTAAATTCTTATCAACGGAACAACATTTTATTGACAACGATTGATAACGATTTTTGCAAAATGGTACTTAATTTTTCTTCTCAGTTTGATCCGATTAATCTTTACAATTTTTCTCTTCCAAAAGATCCTGTACAAGCAAGATGTCCGAAAAGTAAATTTTGATTATTCTCTCAATCACTCGATCGATACGAATAACTCAATCCTGCGAGAATCCTTACAGATGACTCGAAAAGTTTTCCCATTTCTTTATTAACTATGTCAATCAATTGTTGAAGACGTTTGCTCGATCGCTACTTAAAACTGCGCTTTCTATAATTTTTCTTAACCACAACCGAATTTGTAATATTGCGCTATTTGCCAACGGTTGTTAACAATCGAAATATCTCGTTCGCATACAGATTATTATAATTGATAAAAAGTCTTATTTTGCCTATGAACATTCATATCTACATAAGTTCATCTGATACATATACAATAAAAAACCTGGATTTTTCTTAAAAGTTTTGACGACATTTATCCATCTTTATTGTAAAAAAACAGCAGGTCTACTGTTGAAGGAAGCAAAAAGTCAAGCTGAATTTTTTCACAGATCCAAAATTATTCATCAGAATCTTCAACAGCTGAATGATCACATTTTATTTTCGTATTCAAAACTTAATTTCAAAGGAATCACAAGAAATAAGAAATCTCGTGTGAATCGCGTGTCAGAGACACGCCCTTTTCCGAAAGACTGAAGACGCCTTCTTCATTTTGAAACATAAATTTAACGGGCGGCAACGTTAAATTAAATTTAATCCTTTGAGGTAAATATTTTTCATAAAATCCGAATCACATGAAAATTTATATACTGGTGTTTTTGGAATCGCTGATGACGAATCTGTTATCAGATTTTCAAAATTCAAGATGGCAAATCCAAGATGGCGGTCCTAAATATGAAAAATCGCGATAATCTGGAATCCGTCATCTTGGAAAATGAATTTTAGAATGTGGACCTCAGATTCGTAATCAGCGCCCTCAAAAACTAACCAGAATACAATCTTAGCTAATTTAATAAAAATTCTATGATCCGCCATCTTGGAAAATTAATTTTGAAATTTTGACCTGAGATTCGTAATCAGCGACCTCGAAAAAACCCCAAATCTTGATTTTGAGCAAAAAATTCACTCATAGCTCGTGGAAAATGATTTTTTTCTGTAAAAAAGTGTATTTTTCACACTTTGTTTATTTATAATAAATGGACAACGTATGCAAAATACTTTTCAACCTTTCATGTGTGTTCCCATATCATATAAGAAACTAAAAGACGCAAAAAACCCGATAAGAATCCCTCAAATATGAAATATTTCATAAAAATGTGAGAATAAACAGGTGGTAAGTATTGGGTTGGCAACTAAGTGATTGCGGATTTTAAATAAGAATGAAAATTCAAAATTTTTAATTTGCTTTTTTACATTTTTTTCAATGCATGTATGCGATACATTGAGCTTTTCTGCAATATCACGTGTTGTGCTATGACGATCTGAATCGATAATGGCCTTGATATGGGTCCCATCGACTTCAACTGGACGGCCAAATCGTTGAGCATTTTTCAATGAAAAATCACCAGAACGAAATCTGGCAAACCAATTTTGACTCTGCCTTTCTTTCAAGGCTTCATTCCCATATACGGCACATAACTTCTTGTGTGCTTGCGATGCGTTCTTGCCTTTTCGGAAATAATACAATAAAATATGTCTGAAGTGCACGTCTTGCTCTTCCATTTTTTAATTGGGATAAAAACAAAACTGAACAACTAATCGATATAATTTTTGTACTAAATGAAAGGTAGAAGTCCAAACAATAAGAAAAAAATATAGGTTAGGTACTTTGAACACGTTAACGAAACAAAAGAAAGTGTAAAATCCATCTGTCGACAAAATCCGCAATCACTTAGTTGCCAACCCAATATATTTACCACTATGCCTCAAAGGGTTAACAGCGAGCAGAGACCTGCGAGTCAAATTGCAATCGTCGCAGATTTCGCGGTTCTCGCACGGCGAAACCGGTTTCGGCCTCGTGGTCCATTCGCGTCAATTCACATGCACGGCAGAAATAAACGATGGGTTCTAATTATCCAATAAGAGGGAGGCAGCCGCGTTTTGTCGCCTGCTGTCCATGTATCGACTTCGAAAGCGTAAAAAATCGGCATACTCGGTGGGACGACGAGACGAGAAAATTCAACGAAAGGAAACAAGTTAAACCAGAACATCGCCGATATTTTTTCCTCACCGATACTAGCCAGCTTTTTCGCCCGAGCACTAGGAAAGTGACTGTCACCGTTTGCCTGTGGAACTAACCGAGTCTCGATGCGATAATTAGCTCTTGGCCGAAACGAAATTTTAGGCGCTTACAAAGTCGGAGAGAATTAAAATTGGTCGGATTGATATGGAAGTAAAACTCTATATTCGCGTCCCGAGTAAAGAGTAAACGAGCAATTTCATATTTAGAACCCCAAGAAGAAAGTGAAATTTCAAACTCAAGCGGAACTTGGAGACTTTAAGACCTCGTCTTGTATCGTCGTGTATCGTACGCATGCGCACAACCTTGATTTTTATGTGTCGATTGTCATGTATACGACAAAATAAAATACATTACATAAAAATCAAGGTTGTGCGCATGCGTTCGACACACGGCATCTCCTGACTGATTGTAGACAAGGCCTAAACGAAAGTTATGAGCTATAAACAATTGCAGTTTTCCGCGTGACATTGTTCACACAATCGAGTGGTCTTTTGCGTTAGAAAAAGAAACAAAACACATTTGCTCTTTATGTTCAATATATCGCTCTGTGATAATTTATATGGTAATGTTTATAATTTATATTGAAAAACAATTTCAATACTGTTCTAAGTGAGATGAAGTAGATATGACATTTCAAATATTGAACAAGCAAGATTTAAAAAAGGAAAAGATTTAAATTCTCAAACCTCCTCTACTTTTAAATTTCCCATTTCTAAAAGTCCCAAATGGAAAGTTTTACACAAGTTTGAAGAATTGTATTTTTTAGCACTTTACATCATCTTTTGGAACGTACGTGCATATTGTTTAACGATCGGAGAAAACTTAAAAAAGAAATTAATATTCAAACTCAAGTAAAATTCAGCGATTTGAAGTGGGAACTGCAGCTTAAGTAGAATAAAAAGAGTTTGATCAGACTGGATGAATTTTCAGGATACATTTAACTCAATTTAACTCAATTTTAACGTCTGAATTTCTTTTCTGAAGAGTTTCAACTATTTGTGAAGATTAACATTTATGATTTTTATTCTTCGCTACAAAATTTTCGAAAAAGATGAGAGAAAATGCTTCCTGATATCCGCTCAAGTAGTGGGAATTGATCCTTCAATTTATCCTTGTATTGAGGCTTACACCGAGGGTTAACCGGCTTACGGTTAGACCCGAGTCTGACTTAGCGTAAGATTTCACTCACTACTTTCAGGTCCGCCATTTTTGGTCCGCCGTTTTGAATTTTGCAACAGCAACCTCAAATTTGAAATCAGCACGTTCGAAAACTATTATAAAACATGAAAGTAAATATATTTTCCTCTGCAGAAAAAATTTAATCATTTTGATATTAATCTCTGCCAGTAAATAGAACCGCAAGAGAGTTAAACGCGTCAGATTTTAAACAGTGGAAAATCGAAATCCGATATGTTAGCGAAAACTTTTACACACTACGGTGAATAACGCACGATTATCCGGCGAGCGAACGCGCCGTCAGTAGACGATGCGTGAATACAAATGCGACGCAAACACGAGGAATGTGTCGCAATAGATTAGCCTCCGGTTCTTAACCGCCGGTGCTTCCCCTGCCGAGCATCTTTTCTCGCCGCCGCCGATAATGCTCCATGCGACCTTGACGGAAAGTATAAGAGGCGAACTCGCAAGTCGCTGGAACCAAACGTTACCGGGAGAGAGACTCAAAGCAATGAGGCGATTTCTGGCGTCGCTCGTCCTCGCGACAACACTGGTCGCTTGCGCGGCTGATTGTCAACCGGGTTTGGAAGGACGTCAAGACTGGTACCGCTGCGAGGATCTCACGAATCTGCAGGTATCATTCTATCACGACGGATCGGTTGATTCAGCTGGTCTCTAGTTTGCTGGGCCAGATTAAATGTTGCAATTGGGCAACTTTGTTCGCGCAACAAAGTTATCTGTGGCAGCAATTGCTGATCCGATCGTAAGAGATTTTTTTGTACGTGTTATCTTGGTTATTGCGCAGCAAGTCGTTACATATCTCGATCTAAATTAAGTCTGAGAAGTGAGTTAATTTCAGCAAAGAAAGAAACGGTGAAAAAGTCACGCGACATTTAATTAACAAGCGATGGGAAAACACATTTGCTTTTTTCTCCTTTTGCGTGATTCAATTTAATTGTTTAGTTGGTAATGCGCGAATATCAACAAAAAAAACCAAAGCATTTGATAATTATTCGCAGATTGATATCGCTCAACGAGTTGTTTGAATAAAAGAGGAGATATTGCGTTAAAATTTAAGATCTCAAAAATATGAACGAGAAAATTAAAGAATGCTCATTTAACGCAATAATAACGTCTCTCGTCTTGTTTCTTGTTGATACTTTTAATTTTTATCTTTAAAAATGTTAAAATAATCGCAAAAATAATAAAAAAATATAATATAGTTCAATGAATAAATGTTAAAATTTGCGAAAACAATAAAAGAGAATAATGAAAAAGGTACTTTTTTAAATAATTATATACCGACGAAGTTTAGTTAGTACAATTAGGTTTGTTATCATTAAATCAAAAAATTCTGCATTTTTCCAAAAAAATATGAATGCGCCTTTGTTTATGAAAAATATAAAATATAAAAGAATTTTGAGTAAAATAATTTTGCACGTTTCTTACTTTCGAAACTGTTCCGCTGTGAAATTTAAATATATTTTGAATTTTGCAACAACCTCAAATTTGAAATCAGCACGTTCGAAAACTATTATGAGACATGAAAGTAAATATTTTCCTCCATTGTTTTCATGGAATTAATACAGCCCCTAAACATTCAGATAAGCAATTAAAAATAGTATCTATACTTTTGCAGCTTCACACACTGCATCTCTTAAAAATCTACGTTTGCGGCGATTCTCTCGTTTGTTACTGTACACAGAAAAAACTTGCCGCCAATGTGTATCACGGCTAGAACTTTACTTTAAACCAGAGTTTCCCAATCTTTTTTATATTTTGCACTCCTAAAAATTTATTAATGAACCTTCGCACCCCCTATAAAAAAAATTATTCGTATGTTTTATTGTAAAAGTTAGCTGTTAGAGTTTTAAAGTAAGAAATTAATTTATAATAATTTATTATTACATAATATCATTTTATAGAAATTAACTATCATTTTAATATTATAAAATTATTATCCATAGTATTAAACTTCGCATAATGATACGTAATGAATATATGCGTACAGATACATAAAAAATATCTAATTTTAATAACACCTTTTTTTAATTTGATGATAAAAATGCCGGATTATTCCAGAATTCATCTGAATCATTATTAATCACAATCACTTTTCCTCGCATCCCCAATAATGTCTTTTTGCACTCCCCGTTGGGAACCCTTGTTTTAAACGATCGAAGCATTATTGGTTGAAATGGCGAATCTTTTCTTTCTTTCGCAATCACGCATTTACATGTTGCGAAAATCTCCGCAAGCTCGCCTGCATCGCTAAATGAACCACTTTCTCTTGTCGCGTATCCGTGCAGCTGCAGATACCAACAGGAGCCGTCGGCATCGACATCAGGAACTCGAGCATCGCGACGATACCGTCGGACGCGTTCTCGAAATACGGCGACACCCTGGAAGAGCTCAACATCACCGGGTGCGGCGTGAGGGAGATCCAGCCGAATGCGTTCAGGGGTCTCGGCAAGTTGCGCGTGTTGGGCTTGGTGAACAACGAGATCCGCGCGTTGGACGCGTCCTGGCTGCAGGATCTGCCGCAGTTGAGCACGCTCGACGTCTGGCGCAATCGAATCTCCACGATCGATGCACGCCTGTACGACTTGCTGACGAATCTGCAATTCTGGGACATCGCGCACAATGATCTGGTCGATTGCCTGTCACCTGAGTCCCTGAAGAAGCTGACGCGACTCCGCAGGATCTACATCGCCGGCAATCCGTGGTCTTACCGATGCCGCGCTTCGATGACGTGGTATTTGGGCAGCAATCACATCCGCTTTGTCCAGGACTGGGGCGCCGGCGATCTCTTGATCGAGGAGTGCCTCGCTCACGAGCCGGACGCCGCCACCAGCGACGTCGCCCTGGCCAACTGCGTGCAACGCACGACCCCCTCCGCCAATTTTCCCAATGCGACGATGATCCAGTATCTCGTGAGAAAGGTCATGGAACTGGAAGCCGATGTCGCCGCTTTGAAGAAGGCGAGGGACGTTGATCTTCAGAACAGTCTGAAGGCGCAGCAAATGTGAGACAATGTTGGTCGATGTGACATTATTTGTATCATGTGTGTGTGTGTGTGTGAACTTTTCAATCTGTTTCATATTCAGTGAGTTTCATAATTATAATTGGTTAGGTATGTTAATATAAACGTACCAATCAGTGCGTACAGTTGTATCTTTTTGAAGCGCATTGTAAAAATATTTAAAACATTAGGTTAATTTTCGCCGGTTTTTGCTTAAAAAATACATTTATTTTAATTAACTAAATTTTATGAATTTTAATGAATGAATGAATTAATTAATGAATTTTAATTAATGAAATGAATTGATCAATTAATCAAAACATTTCCCATCGTTTTGTATTACTTTTTCCCATCTTTCTGATAAGAATTCCGCGGCGATAGAACGATTCAGATTTTGAAGCAATCCATTCATCCTTCACTCACTTTCGGACTTTGTTTCGAAAGAGTGTATCTTGAAGGCCATGTTGCATTGAACGGAACAAGTGGTGATCAGACGCGGGGCCAGATCTGGAGAATACGCGGCATGCGGAAGAACCTCCCATTCAAGCTCTGTCAGCTTCCTTGATGACTTTTGCAACATGTGGCCGGATATTCTCGTGCAACAGGATCACTTTTCTTTAGTTGTGTGCGATTTGTGGTAGTTTTTGATCCAACACTAGCTTCGAACTGTATAATTGTCGTCGGTACCGGTCAGCCGTAACAATTTCATTGGGTTTTAAGAGTTCATAATACATAACATCTTCTTGATCCCATCAAATATAGAACAACTTCTTATGACCATTGCGTTATGAATATTGCGTTTCAGCGTCAATGTGGATGGTTGGCCTGGGTCTATCCATGATTTTTTGCGTTTACGGTTGTCATAATGGATCCACTTTTCATCACCAATGACAATCCGGTGCAAAAGACTCCTCTTTTCTACTTGGCAATCAAAACAGTGGCGATGGATACACGGTTCAGCATGTTCGCTTCGGTCAATTCATGTGGCACCCATTTTCCTTCCTTTTGAATTTTTCTCATTGCATGCAAACGATCAGAAATTGTCGAAATTGCAATATTCAGTGCCTTAGCCAATTCCTTGAGTGTTTGAGATTGATTTTGGCCCAATAATGCTTGCAGTTCGGCGTCTTCAAACTCTTTTGGCTAACCTGGACGTTCCTTGTCTTTCATATCAAAATCATCACTTTTGAAGCGTCGAAAACAATCTCTACATGTTGTTTCTGATTCAATAGAGTCACTATAAGTTTCCACTAATATTCGATGTGCTTCAGCTTTCTTTATATCAACGTAGTGGAGCAGAACATATCGAAAAAAACTACTTATTGTGTTCCATTTTGAATTAATTTAAAAACAATATCACTGCTTGCAAAAATGAACCTTGGTGGACTGAATTCTATTGAAAAACGTCTAACTTTTAATATAGCATAAGTTCTAGCTGTCACAGTTCACTACATTTGCAGTTGGATCCATCTAAATGTGGACAGCGGAAATTAACCGAAACATCTAATAGTAAATAGCATCGTAATTTTTATCGGGTTGATTAGTAGAACATAATTGTTCATGTACGTGTATATAGTATAATATGTATATATAGAAATGTGTTTAATAAATATAATATACCGGATATAGAGACAGTATAGAAAAAAGGTTATATCTTTTCTTTTAATGAGCTTCCAATAGAAAAATATACTTTTCTAATTCCTAAAAGGAAAATCTTCTCATAGAATATCAGATACGCCCTGAAGTACATCGAGATAAAAGTTCTTCTTTCACTAATTCTATACATCTACGTTAACATAAGATATAGTAACTCCCTAATAAATTAATGAAATTTGTATTTATATTGGGACAAGTGAACAAATTGCTACTCAGCAACGATAAGCTGCTTGTCGGTTTGCGGTGCAAGTTATAGAAGAGAGTCTCTGTAGCATTTCGCCCTAAAAAAAAAAAAACAAAAAAAATCTTCCAACAGAGGACAGCAATAGCGATGCATAGTGGCGAAAAAGTTAATTATTTTTTTGTCTTTGTATATGAATTTTTATATTGGTTCACATGGAGAGAATTTTTCCGGAAGATATTAGCATTTGTAAAGCGAAAAGTACCATGCTATTCTTCGTTCCGCTAGGATGTATTCGTAACGTTGAAAAAATTTCAAAGTAAGATGGAGGAAATTCTGTGTTGTGGATTCTACATACAAACATTACAGGAAATTTTATATACAGACAATTGAAAAAAATTCTCTCTCTCTCTCTCTCTCTATCTATCTATCTATCTATCTATCTACCTATCTACCTGTCTATCTCTGAATAAACTATTAGTTGATCGTTGTAACAAATAAATTCCGGCCTTGGTGTATGAATATATCTCAGTCGCGCGATACGAGTATGGTAATTTTTACCACTAGCGTGATATATTATTCAACGAAAACTCTTCCCATGCAATATTGGCCCAACATTCGCGGCCAATGTATTCGTCAACGTTGGCCTACATTTGCCACATCGTGTGCAGCCGGCTTTACTCGACGTCGCGTTTCGATACGGTCGATCCTATAAAGCACTTTTTATATATTAACACGTCAACTGCCAGGAGAGTCGATTGTAATCGGCATCTAACTTTTCAATGGTGCTATAGAGGGGTTCATCGGTAACTTCCAATAAAACAAATCACGTTGCGTGATTATATTATAGTTTAGTTATATGACACACGTTTCTTTTTTTTTTTAAACATTGCAACTACCAACGACACTAGCCGACACATATTTATCGTAATTTATTTTAATGCGTTATCATATATTATGGTGATGTTATACTAATAAATAGAGATAGAGATATGAGGGTAAGTTGAAAAGTTTCTAACCTGACTAAGAAGAAAACACTTCTTTTTTTTTGAGCTAAATAAAATTTATTTCTCAATAAAGATATTCAATTGAACACACTCGGTCCAGTGTTTTTCTAAATCTGTCATTCCCTCGGTATAACTTTTGTATAAACCCGAAAAATAGTCATTAACGGCACTTCTCACTTTAACATCCGACGAAAATTTTTTCCCAGATAGCCACTTTTTTAAATTTGGAAATTGGAAAAATTCGCACGAAGCCAAATCTGGATAGTACGGTGGATATGAAATTAATTCGTATTTCGTTCGTACAATTTCGCCATCGCAATTGCCTTTTTCCAAATAAACCACAAAAATTATTCCATGGGAACCCCAAAAAATTGTGGCCATCACCTTATCAGCCGACGGAACTGCTTTTGCCTTTTTCGGAGTCAGTCCTTTGCAGTCGACTACTTTGACTGTTCTTTTGTCTCCGGAGTGTAATGGATCCAAGTTTCATCAACAGTAATAAAACGCCGTAAAAAATCTTTTTCATCGCGCTTGGAGCACTGAAGACACGATCGTGAAATGTGCAATCGATGTCGTTTTTTATCAACAGTGAGCAAACACGGCACACAACGCGCGCTCAGCTTTCTCATATCTAATTCCTCATGTAAAATATTGCGCGCCCATTTGTATGAGATATCAACAGTCTCCGCTCTCTTTTAAAATTAATCGACAATTATCCATCACGATTTGGTGAATACAATCTATCATTTCATCCATTGCGATTTTTGACCGTCCAGAAAGTTCCTCGTCGAAAACACTCGTTCTGCCACGTTTAAACTTAATAACCCAGGTTTTCACGGTCGTAAATGAAGGAACAGCATCTCCATACACTGAATCTAATTCAACTTTAACTTCCATGGGAGTTTTCCCTTTTAAATGAAGGAATTTTATCACGGCGCGATACTCCAATTTCTTGACCATTGTTGACAAACTGTAACTTTAAAAGGCAGTCAGAAACAAATGAATCGCTAGAATACATCAAACTTAACTCTGTTTCTTCACGGCCATTAGACAAGCATTAAAATTTGTGACTGAAATCTTGCTCTTTCTTGGTTAGGTCAGAAACTTTTCAATCTACCCTCATATACAGGGTGCTAAATTTCAAACGTAACAGGTAAAAAATCTCGACAACTAAATGATATTGAGATCCACCCTTTTTTATATTGTATTCGTATTTTTTATATTGTATTTTATATTGTTTCGAAGGGGACACATTTTTATTAAAACAAAATTTAATTTTGGATGGAGACGCCAAGGTAAAAAGAAAGTCAAACTTTTTTTTAAATGAAACTCTAATTTTTTGAACACCTACGTTTGTAGCCCTTGTCATGACGAATTCAACAACCACATACCCAAGGTGATTAGTCCAAGGTCAAATAACGGAAAAAAAGACTCAGGAAAGAAAAAATAATGCTTGAATAAAGAAAAGCAAAGAAGAAATAAACTTTGTTAATAAATTTTCAATAAGAACAAAATATCTTAGAAAAAAAGAAGCGAGTTTCTCTTCGAAATGGAGAATTTCATTAATTTAAGTGTTCGAAATGTTATCCCCTTGCATCTATGCAAGCCTGCAATTTTCGTTGAAAACCATTAAGCACTCTTTGTAACTCGTTCGTCGAAATTACATAAACAATTGTTTATGTTAATCCTCCAATTACAAGAGAAAATATGATGCAACGAATATGCGAAGCGAGTCAAATAATTTCGACGAGCGAATTACAAAGAGTGTTTAATAATTTTCAACGAAGATTGCAGGCTTGCATAGATGCAAGGGAATAACATTTCGAACACTTAAATTAATGAAATTCTACATTTTGAAGAGAAAAACGCTACTTTTTTCTAAGATATTTTGTTCTTATTGAAAATTTATTAATAAAGTTTATTTCTTCTTTGCTTCATTCAAGCATTATTTTTTCTTTCCTGAGTCTTTTTTTCCATTATTTGACCTCTAATCACCTTGAGTATGTGGTTGTTGAATTCATCATGACAAGGGCTACAAACGTAGGTGTTCAAAAAATTAGAGTTCCATTTAAAAAAAGTTTGACCTTCTCTTTACCTTGGCGCCTCCACCCAAAATTAAATTTTGTTTTAATCAAAATGTGTCCCCTTCGAAACAATACGATATAAAAAAAGGCGGACCTCAATATCATTTAGTTTTCGAGATTTTTTACCTGTTACGTTTGAAATTTAGCACCCTATATATGACCCTCGAGGCCACTCGTATAATATCACCCCTCCTTCAATAAAATTAAAATTAAATGGTTGTGCCCTTGTTAATATTAACATTATTCCCGCTCCTCTTTATTGAAACCTGTTAT